TGTATCTTAGTAAGTAATCTAAGTAGTCTGTCTGTAGTTTACACGAGTAGTAAACATCTGAATGAAAAAACTTGTTTGAAAATTATTTTTAACTACGGCCCGACGTTTCGGATGCTTTGCAGCAGCCGGGAGACGTGATATTCCTTAAAATATTAATATCTTAAGTTGCTTCGTTTCTATAAGTTTGGGAAGGATAAACTATATCAATATACTAAACAAATATCTAGACTACATTTACGACGTTAAACACGTCTCAATTACACGGTGTTCAGATACAAAGCTTACGTTACATGGAAACGTATAAATGCAACTGCGTTTGAGATGGTCGGCTACTATAGGTTTACGATCACAACTCATTTACACGTACACGAGAAAAAATATTTATAATAGATTATATACAATTGTTACTTTTTCTCGTGTATAAAAAAAGATTATGTGTGTCTTAATAAATATACATAAAACGGAAAGTGGGGACACGTATCACAAAGTGTTCACCGTAAATCAAAGGTCTACTTTCGATAGAAGAGGCCTATCTAGCTCTAATCCCTTTAGACTGGCTCGTTGATCTAATGGTAGCAATGGGTAACATCTATGGGTCGCGGGTTCGATTCTCACCGGGTCCAAAATGGTATTATTCTTAGTTTCTATTGGAAACCAGAGGGCCGGGTGATCGAAAGCACCATCTACAGATGAAGAAGCTGTAAAGTTTCGGTTAATTCTGTGTGTGTGATTTCCCATTATTCAAAGCCAAAATAGTCGATAGCGCATCTTATTGAGATGTTATATGACTTGGGTATTTGACCTGCCTTCAAAACGGTATGCTTGTCTTCCTATATCATAAATTATATGAATGAAGATTATCAGACTAGTAGTAGGGTTTTGGATAAAGGCGTGACAGCGCGTGTGAAATCGCTTAACTATGTTAATATATTATGTATTCCCACTATTCTGCATAGACGTCTTTAGAGATGTTAGAATTTCATATAATAATATCATTAATTATTACACCTTACTGTTTACGCCACACGTAATTTCAGGCAATATATTTATGCAATATTTGATATTGCATTTCTTGTAAAGTATGTTTATAATATCTATACTAATATATATAAAGCTTAAGAGTTTGTTTGAACGTACTAATCTCAGAAAATACTGGTTCGATTTGAAAAATTATTTTTGTGTTGGATATAGCATTTATTGAGGACAGTTATAGGCTATAAAACGTGTGCTGTGACTTGTAGGTGCGAAAAAAAATATCCCCAAAATATAGTATATGAAAGAATGATCTAAAAACAATCTATCATATATATATATGTCTATCTTTCACGATTAACTTGCAATAAAGACGAGACGTGGTTATTGGTTATTAAGATGGAGAATGACTATTCTACACGGTCAAAATCGCTGACACTAGTTTTGTATTAACATTAGAAAGGTTTGTAATTAGATTTGCTTTAATATTACGTTTAAAAGAAGTAACAATAAAACATGACTAACGCTTTAAACCAACACTAATATCGAATCGGAACCTTTATAATAAAATTGGGAAATAAGAAATCTTGCAATTTTATCGTAAAGGTAGATTGAAGGAGGCGGAAATAACTGATTTCGATCAGGATATTTTCACTCAGACGAATTTTACATTCGAAAATCTGTATCGGAGATTTGTCATAAAATATCAAGAACGTGGATTTTAAAAGCACATGTATCAAATACTGTCTATAGTTTACGCGAGTAGTATACATTTCAATAAAACACTTTAACGGTTTCAAACGCGATATATTAGTTAAACTTATTGGAAAATGCCGTGGTCACGGCTGCTGCAAAGCATCCGAAACTTCGGGCTGAAGTTAAAAATCATTTTCAAATAAGTTTAACTAATATATCGCGTTTTAAACCGTTAAACTGTTTTATTTAAAAGCACCTGTATCGTTAATGTTTGTTGGTACTTTATGTGTTCGTTTCATCCCAATACTCCACAGCTGTTACAGGTGTCCTTGGACAAACGAAAAGATTTTATTCATATTTCGAAAACTTATAGCTATTACACTAGAATCGTCGACCAATAAGATACCAGTAAGGCAATTAAAATATTCGCTTTTAAATGCGGAAATAAAAAAAAATGTGAGTTTAAAAATTTTAAGTAAGAAAAAAATAATTATTTTTAGTAACATAATGTGGCATGAAACTATTTTTACTATGGGCACACTTACACAAAACTTGTGCATGCGCGCACCAGTCTGCAGTTTTGTCTGTAATATTTTGGCATAAGGAACGTAAAGAAGAATATGAAGGTGAAGTGTTAGGTGGAATATTAAATTGTATTAAAATATTTGTGTCATTAACGTAGATTCACCAATATGCTCCAGTGGGGGTTGGTGGGCTTTAATCATGGGATGATATCCGATACCGCGAATAACATGCTTAAACTAAGATTTATTAAAATTTGAAATCAGTTCCTATGGCAAGCTAACAACAGATGTTACTCTGCCTTAAGAATACATTTACAATTTTACAACATAATATAATAAATATTAGATTGATAAAGCTTATCGTGAACTATAAAAGTCAAAAGTTTGAATTTGTAAAATACGGCGTTAGACTCGTTTATAATGCTTTGCATTTCCTAATATGCATTTGAGCAATAAATTACACCCGCTCAATAGCATTGAGGCAAATTTTGTTTATTCAGATCATTAATAACTGGGTCAAACTGAATTCGAATATTTTTAGAGTGTTCTGTTCACCAAGCATAGTTTGAAAATGGTAAATAGGAAAATAAATAACAACGTAATAATTTACTTATAGGCATATTTGTGATAAGTTTCCTTTGCTGGGACTTGAATAATATTGTGAGCAGAATACCAAAAAAAATTCATGCTGTTTAAACTCATCGGCAGATGGCACCAGATGCAGATATCTTAGTGTCTGCCAGTTTTCTCACTGCCGGTGAGAAATTGTATGTAAATAAAATTTCTGTTATATAATCTGTATCAAAATATGACATGTATAACTACTGACGCCATCTAGTAATAGTAATACTGAAACTTATTAATAGTTATTCAATAATCTGTATTTTGCGAATATCCACCAAGTTTTACGAAAATTTAATCGTTATTTATGCTTCTGTTTGGATCCCTAGTCAATTATGATTCTATTGTTTTCAAGACAGACATATTATGAATTTTAAAAGTTGCAAAAATTAAAAAAAACGCTATTGCACTGTGCAAATATAAATAAAATAATATTAATAACATATTATTTTATTAATATTTATTTAAATAAATTATTTTCGATACCTACTGCAGTATACCAATAACAATAAATAACGTTTGCTGGTTCATCTAGTGAGAAATACAATTTTAGATATCTATAGCTTCTAATGATATTCTCGTATAGGCTTATGTTTTCAGGAAGTCCCATTGAGGGCAGTTCTATGATAGACTTAAGTGCATCTCACTGTATGCAAATAAGCCGAGTGTTGGTTGAGGAGAATAACTAATTACATCACTCATTAACTATGAAGGGTGTTGGCGGTAGGACAATATTTGTCCTACCGGCAGGCGCAAACAGTTTGAGCCTGCAACGACGCTACTATATAATGAAGCACTCAATTAGGTTTGTTTACCATACATAATTAATTAAAATTAATAATGAAAAGAACAGACACGATTCTTCAAATTAAAATGTTAGAAAAGTTTAAAGGTAACGGTTATTAGAAAAGGATTGGAGCCATTTCGAAATATATTTAAGCTCATGATTAAGTGTGCAAGAAGCTTATTATAAAGAAACTTTATTTTATTTTAAAACATTCTTATATTTAAATAAAACACTTTAAAACGCAATATATTTTAGGTATAGTAGTAGTTTTAGCGAAACGTCGGGACGTAGTTAAAAATAATTTTCAAACAACTAAAATATCGCGTTTGAAACTCTCAGAGTGTTTTATTAAAATTTTTACTACTCACGTAAACTATTTAACATTTTTATACTAAAACACGATTACGGGTAGTAATAGTTTTTTAAACTGTCTTAATAATGTTAACCGTAATTTAACAGAAAGGTCAACTTTTAGAATGAGAAACAATATTCAAATATAATTCTCTACGTCCATATCAAGTAATGCAATTACATAATTAAATAAATAACGTGGTCGTTTCCGAAATTCTGTGGCACTTTGTTTAAAATTCGTTGTGATGTCGACATAGCGTGACCCGAACACTTCTCGCCGAATATAAATTAGTGAATCATTAAAAATAGAGTGAATTTCGTTATTAGTATACTTCTATCAGATAAAACCACAATCAGGGTATTAATTTTACGAGCGAGCCACTAGAGACATGTTTACTTGGAACGAATGAAATAATTGATATTTAATTATACCATCACCTAGGGGATGTAATTGGCAGAATAATTCTATTTATAACAGTTTCGACTTATGTAAGGCATCTTAAGGTATCCATGTTTATATTAAAATTTATTAATTAAGTAAAAACGTTGCAATGATCACACCTTTGTGTGTGAAAATTTTAATAAATTAATTTAATTTTTTAATTAATTTGATTAGTAAGATAAATAGTATTCGATATTATTGCTTTAAATAACAACTTAGCCGTATATGCATGAATTTCCTTATATTATGCACTACACCAGACTATTAACTACTTTCAAAGAGTTTTAATGATAAGTAATATTTTTCAAAAGTACTTATGTTATTTTTTGTCTTTATAATAGTTTGTGCAATATTTTTCTATGCTGTATTCTTGTAATATACAATACAATTTAAGAAAAGGCTAATAAAGAAAAGTTAAGGTAAACGTTGACAAAAGGTCGTAAAGGTTGACAGTTTCTATATCGTCTTATACTTTAAACAAAGAGGTCTTTTGATGGTAAGAAAAACAAAATACATTTTTGAAAACCTTTTATTGCTCCATTAAGGGGCGACTAGTGGTAACAATTAGGCAGTGTTCAGCAATTCAACAATATCCTTATCTAGATTCTTAAGCGCGGCTCTCGACTACCCTTGGTGGGTGAGCAGCGATGTACGCGAGGGCCTTGACGATGTATTCTGGGACTGGGACGGGGGTGGGGAGGTGAGCACCCTGGAAAAAACGAAAACTTCATTAGACAACGGCGCCATGTGTTACCGACAAATAATAATTAGTGGAGCTGAAATTTCTCCTTTGTTATTGGATATGTAAGCCAATTTTCAAATAGTATCGTATTAAATCCTATATATTGAAAGCTAAACATTGATTTACTCAGAAGGCTTACTGGCAACAGTTTTACCATTATATCTAATTGGATAGCAATATGTAACACAGGTATTAAAGTTAGTAAAATATAGAAAGTATAGTAAAATATGCACTTAACAATGTTCTTTACTATTACAATTCCAGCATCAAAGAATTCTTTAATAAAACTGAATATTTAAAAGAGAATGTTGGTGTTCCACCTACGAGCTAACATCCAAAGCATCTATCAGCATGGAATGTGCAATTTATGAGCAGAAATGTCACATGCAGCGAATGTAGGCGAATGATCTTTATCGCAAATTGATTTGACACAGGTTTCAATTACATAAATAGCTATTTCGCCTTGGAAGAAGATTTTACTACAATATTTAGATTGTCCTAGTGGGTTGTACGCGAATAGTTTTACTATTCAAATAATTACATTTCTGACATATTCAATATTAGCATTACAACCACATTGGGTAAATTCCATGATTTTTCAAATTGATTGATGTAAATTATACTTTCTTTTAAACGTAGAGACATTTCTTTCTTTAATATTGCACCACAACCACGAATTCAAATATGCCTGGGTATATTTTTAGTTACCTGGGGTTGGTATCCGTTCTCATTGGCGATGTATTGGACAGAGTAGACTTGACCGTCTGGGCCGGTGTAAGAGCTGGATCCCTGGACTTCGAGAGCTTGCTCCTCCTAGAAATGTTGAAAAAATATTTTGTTGAGAATTGCTTGAACTATTAAAAGAAACTTTGAATATATTTAAGTTTAAAGAATATTAATAGTATTTCGACCATTCAAGAGCTACTCAAATTTGCTTATGAGTAGTAAATAAAAATATCCACTTTAAACGTAAGATAACAAGGATTTAACAAAGCTCTAAGAACGAATGATAAAATTCGGAATATTTTCCTCGTCTCACTAAATTCCCCGCTGTGAATAATAGATGAATTTTAATGGACTTAATGAAAATTTATGTTAGCCGAACAGGATTTGTCGAATGTATTCCGATCATTTACTATGAGGTCACGATGACACGCGGCAATAATGTGACTTCGTTAATCTCGACCTTCTCAAATACCAAGGCCATTTTTAAATACTTGAAATTAATATAGCGACATTAGCATCTTTATCAAATTCATATTTGGCCAAAAATGTCTATCGTCCGTATTATTTAAAGTAATTTATTTCATCATATTTATCATTGTATTTTATCGATTTTATAGTTAAGCTCCCAGTACTTTACAAGTTTTACAAAATTTCTATCTATTCTGAAGTTAAGGGAACCTGTGTACTATAGAAATAAATATCACGTGTCTATAAATTCAATAAGATTGTTAATTAATTAATGTAGGCAATATTTACGGAGCAACATTATATTTAGAAAAGGTACTTCCTACTATAAGTACCTAATATAAGTATTTCCAAGAGAATCACAAATGGTAACTTAGTTTGTCGTAAGACATTTTGTCTTCTAGAAGAATATTAAAAATGGTTGCCCTGGTCCTATTAATACTTACGCGGCCAGCGTTCTTCAATACTCCGGATTCTTGTCCCTTGATACCGTTGCTGGTTTCGTAAGCGTATTGGAACTGGTCGGGGAAGACATCGGCATCATGTCTGACGATCTGGGCGTCGACGTCTGGGTGGATGATGTGGGAAACATCGGCGGCGGCGAGGGCCACGAAGGCGAGGATGGCTACGAAGGATTTCTGCAGAGAAATAAATTTTATGTTGCATTATAAGGGCCGATGCTCCAAGTTTTTATTATACTTTTTTTTACAGTCAATATAACAGCTTACGATAATAGCAGTCATAGTCATTTAGATAGTTTACTGTACCCAATATTAAGAAGTCACTGCGGATAGATATTGAAATAAATATTGTGCTATTAATTTTAAAGTTACATACTAATAGACTTAAAAAATATAAGAGGATGGGACAGAAAGGCACCGGATTTACTTAATGGAAAGTGAAATAAAACTTTATAGATAAGATGCGCTGCCTTTTTAGGCTTTGGTCATTCGAAAAGAGTTTAACATGAGATGATATTTTGATATAAAAAAGCTTCTTTACTATCTGATCACCAACAGATCGGATAGTAAAGAAGAATAAGTGTTCTATCATTTAAAAAACACTTATGGATTTTGTAATAAATAAGAACTTTACAGAATCGATTATATTACAAAAGCATAGTGGAATCGGTTCTAAGAATTATTACACCAAATACAAAAAAAAGTCGGAAAATTGGTCGGAGGAAAACACGGCTATTTTAAATATACCTTGGAAGATAGGGCGGTAATTATTAAGCTACTGAGGAAACTGGGAATCAATAAATAATTATTTTTTGAAAAAAAAGGCGCAAGGTATGAAAGACAATTATTAAAATAATTAATAAAAAGTATTAATGTACATTTTTATAACAGAAAAATAAAAATTGATGTATTGAAAAAGAAAACCTAGGCTTTTGTATATTCGTGAAAAAGGGCAAAGTTAACACAATATTTAAATAAAACGTTTCGATAAGAATAGGTAAAAATGAATTCGTGATATCGAAATCTTAATTAGATATTAGCTCACCATGATGTGTGTGTCAAAGTTAAGAGACGATGTCTAACTATGATTATGAGATAAATGTGGCTCGTTTTATACTCGACTGAGATGATTCCAATATGGCTAAGTATCGCCATTTGCATGATTTTGCAACAAAGAATTTGAGCATCGGTAATTTGGATCTCTACAAGGTGAACGTGATATCGATATTTTCGGTGGCACCCGATGTCAGACAAAACGATTACTACTGTTGCTACTCTCCTGGCAACAGAGCAGGTAATAAAATGTCAACCCTTTATGCTGAAACTTGTGAAGACCGAGCATGCTTTGTCCTTATGAACAGTTTTCATATAAGAGTTCCATATGAGGATGAAGATAGAAAATTAATTTAATTTAATCTTTAACATGTTCAGAATGGTTCAATTTGCCTGATTTGCTTTTTAATAAAATAATAATAAACCTTTTATTTCTTGCTTTTTACATTATTTGTTGATATATTATAGAAAACAGATTTCGTTAGTACATAAGCTTCGAATATGTTAGTAATTTAAATATATATGTAATGTTCAAAACTTATCGTTCAACAAGAACCCCGGTTTGGTATAGGCCTCCTCCAAATATATATAATATTGATCTTTCATGAAACATGACAGCTATGACAATATTTTTTTTTATATAAAAATGATTTGTGATAGCCCCTTCTATAAATATTCAGACTAAAACTAATCATCTAAGACTCCACTACCAAATCGTTCCTTGGTTTTATTATTCTGTTCTATTTTAAGTTATTCTAATAATTGTCTGTATGTTTCATACATATTTTTTATACATACCTATGAAGATGCGTAGACTATGTGACACTGAGTGTTAAGAGAATTCGTGTAGGCGAAAGGTTACTAAGTACTTATTATTCTATTTAACTCGACTTTCGGAACTAAATTTAGCCGTATGTGAGAGATTGGCAAACAGCCTCGTAAAATGACGTATTCTTTATAACCTATACCTTGTCTAACATAGAATCAGAAGTTACGAGTTCGGGCCTATAAAGAAAAGCATATCTAACAAAAGTACTTCAAATTTAAATAAAACACTTGAACGGTTTAAAACGCGATATATTAGTTAAACTTATTTGAACATATTTCGTGCAACCTCGAGAAATATTTCATTTAAAGTGTACAATTTGCGTACACTACAGACAATACTTACACTTTCGTTTACAGCGTTTATTTAATTATCCTTACCTATGATCAATTTTCAAAGTAATCCTTAACAGACAAGTTCTTTACAAACTTTGTTGCTAAGCTTAGTTGCTAATTCTTGAATCATATCATTAATACATTATGCATATGATCCAGCGGCCTTTAAAAATATCATGAGACAGTGCAGTGAGAATAATCTTTTAAATAAATCTTTTTTTTTTTGAGAGAACCCATCTCATTAATTCTAAATAAAAGTTACTTCACGGCTAAGTCAAAGGTAAGCGTTTAATTATTCCATGTTAAAGTAGTATTACTGGTTTCTTGTAAAAACGTGTTTCATTTCATTTTATTGTGTCTCTAGGTAACAGAAGCAAGATAATCTTTTTTAGGCATTATTTATTTGATTAGCGCTGCTTAAGGAATTGAGGATATTAAATTTTATGCAAAAAAAGGTAGTGGATGATCAGAACGATAAACCTTTTTTTTTAACCTTTTCGATGTAGACGTTATTTGTGACCTTGATATGAGAATTTTTTTCTCTGATACTACAAGTGTATAAGGGTGCATGTCTCTATGGGGTATGGGGAAAACGCACTCTGGGTCCGTTTCACTAATTGATTTTTTTTACAATCAAGTTGTTGATGAGACTGCACTGCTCAATCAAAACGACACTAGACAAGACTGACCCCACGTGCTTAAAATAATATTAGACAACGCGACTAACCTACGAAAATGGTCTTTTTACAAACTACAAAATAAAATATATTAGGGTATTGAAAACGATTGTTTTTTAGTAAGTTCAATATGATTTTAAATATTTGAAGTCTATTTGGATTGAATAAAAACACATTACGCTTCTATACTCGCTATAACTGTAACTAACTTGACTACCATTCTTTATTTTATATGAGTGGAAATATACAACTAATAATGTTTCAAGTATGGATAAGTTTTGTTTTAATTTTACACTCTAGGATAATATTACAAAACGTTACGAAGCTGATTTTCTCAGGTAACAAAAATCGTATTCTTATAGTTTTTATTTGTTTATTCATAGTTACACTTTAGAATTATATACACTTATTTTATTAATTTAATAAGACACATGTGTAAGTAGAGTGTTAAAGTGTTTCAGAGTTACTTTCGCATTTATAATATTAGTAAGTTTTATAAAAAATTATTAATTACGATCATCCAATTTATCCCTCATTCAACCCGTTACTAACTTTTTTCGTACAGCAAACGGTTTTAGAATGCAAGTCACCGAATTGGGCGCATTCAAGAGAGACAATCTGTGTTTGTTAGTGCTACTTTGCCACAACACTCCCACTCTTCACATCACTCCTACTCTTACTCCCACTCTCTCATCCCATCTCACTCCCATTCCCAAAGAAGAAAGTTTCATTGTTCTAGATTAAAAAATCACGAATTTCCATACAAACTTTCGTCCTCCTTTTCAACCCTTTTTTGGCATTAAAAGTAGCCTACGTCCTTTCTTAGGCTCTAGAATATCTGTGTACCGAATTTTATTTAAATTGATTCAATAGGTTGGGCGTAAAAGCCGGGTAGACAGACAGACGGACAGAGTTACTTTTGCATTTATAATATTAGTATATATTATAATATTTTAACATTATTAAAATAAAATTTTCTGTTTCGCTGCAGAAAGAGAAAAATAAAACAGATTTTAACAATAAAACAGTTTTATTAGTTGAAGAAGCAAGGCTAAAATTGTATTCAAAATATATATCTTTATCAAATACAACGAAAGAGTTCGGAAAGCCAAGCTTTAAAAATAATACTATATACCTATAGTTCTATCTCTGTCATATGTCATTGAGATAGTGTTTTTTTTCCTTATATGTCGCCTTAGCTTGTCCATCGAAAACAACTGTTCATATGTTATGTATGCGGAGATAAAATAAGGCCTCTTTTGTATCTAAAATTAAATAGTAATGATAGCCTGTCCATAGTTTACGCGAGTAGTACACATTTAAATAAAACACTTTAACGGTTTAAAACGCGATATATGAGTTAAACTTATTTGAAAAAGATTTTTAACTTCGGCCCGACGTAAAATTTAAATAATAGCCTGGTTAATAGATAACAAACTTTCTATTTCGTAATCTACGAATGGGTTATACGATAAAAAAAAACATAGCAGGAGTATTATGCTCCTGTAGATAGTATGTATCTATTTTGTTATATATTATTTAAACAAGATATAAAGCTCCTATTTTGCTACTTATTTCGAAATAAGAATTGCTTAAATTAAACAAACATAAAAATTGTAAATTTTTGACATTTGTCGGGCTCGTTGGTATACTAGTAGCAATGTATGGTTGATTAAAAACGGGTCGTGGGTTCGATTTCCACATGTTTCTAATCTTTAACATTTTGCACTTTGTCTGGAAAACTGAATAAAAAATTGGTGGTAGGAATATATAAATCCGTCTGGGTCACGAACCATCGTACATAGATGAAAAAGCCGTGAAGCTTTTGCGTTTCGGCTTCAGTCTGTGGATTTCCGATATCCACTGCCAAAATAGGCCGACAATGCATCTTTATTAGATGCTATATGCTGGGGTATCACCGACCATCAAATAAACCCAATCCTTGTCTGTGTTCCTCGATCATTAAAAAAAACTATTAAGAGATCGCATTTTCCTTAAGTGATGCAAAGGGCAGACACATTTCTGTGTCCATTGTTAAAATTTAAACACAATAGTTATCTATCTCTCGCGCTTAAAAAAATGCTACGCAATGCGTTTACATATCCAGCCACAATGGTCTATAAATTACCAAAATTTAATAGTAATAAATTACAAAGTTATAGGTTAAATGTGAGCCCACTTTACTACTTAGAACACGACCTTTAGAAATACAAACTTTGACACCTGATCATACTTAATTACATCTAGACATTAAAAAACTATATACTATATTTTTTTACTCCTGCTCATTTATCAGTATAGAAATATTAATAATTATAATTTATTATATGGTTAAAATTTAAATATCATATATATTATAGAATATATAGGGTAGAATATGTAAATATAAATAACTAAATATAGCTGAGTATATGAAAGCACTAACTACTTATGTATGTTCGGGTGACATTAAACTATGCGATTCGAAAATTTTACTCCTAATAACATCTTAACATTAACAAAAAAAAAACATATTAACGATCGCGAAACATAATATTAGTTAATTTATATTTATTTTAACTACGGCCAGACATTTTGAATGCTATGCAGCAGCCGTGGTCACTGCGGTTTTTGTGGGGTGTTAGCTGTTTTATTTAAATGTGTATTCATCGTGTAAAGTACAGGCAATGCCCTATTAAATTTATAAGCCTTATTACAATTAAAAACTAATATTATCGCCAATTATTTACCTACCTAGTTACTAAAATAAAACTATCAACAAAAACAACAGTTAACTAAGTCAGACTTTAATGGAATACTTCATACTATTTCGTAGAGATGTATTAACAAAAAACAAGTAACATGGAACAGGTCTATCGTCTAGAAGGCATCAGATTGAAACTCAGACTTTCTTGGCAACAAGGGGAAGGTGGTTAGCGATGTACTGCTGAGCACGGAGGATGGCTTCGGGGGCCTTGGGGACGTGGCTTCCCTGTAAATATAATTATAAAGTAAAATAAAACGTATATAAATAATAAGGTTAATCCTGTTAGAATTTGGCTAGAGAAATAGTGGCGACAATGTGGAATATCATTTTTTTGCTATATAATCCATAGATTAACTATTTTACTCTTTAAAACAAATTATATTATATCTTTAAAGCCATGGCAATATTTTTCACGTAAAACTAGCGACACATGTAGAAAATAATGTCTCTTCGTTCCTTTTTCGATTTCAACAATTATAACTTTTTTACTAAGCGATTTAGTTAAAAACAATAAGAGATTTTTTTTACATAAAACTTGTATGAATATGTAACTTACAGCTGGCTGGTATCCTGCCTCGTTGGCGACGTAAGTAAGTTCGACTGGGGTGCCGTCTGGGGCGGTGTACCTCACGGTTCCCTTAACTTCAAGAGCGGCGTTGTCCTAAACACCACAAGCTTTTATTAGTCACAATTCAATAAGCTTAGAATACTGTCTATAGTTTACGCGAGTAGTACACACTTAAATAAAACACTTTAACGGCTTAAAACGCGATATTAATATATCTGAAACTTATTTGAAAATTATTTTTAACTTCGCCGTGGTCACGGCTGCTGCAAAGCATCCGAAACGTTGGGCCGAAGTTAAAAATCGCGTTTTAAACCTTTAAAGTGTTTTATTTAAAAGCTTATAACATCTAAACAAGATGCGCTATCGATCTGTTTTGGCTTTGGTTAATCGGTAACTCACAGACTGCAACCAAAACGCAATTAAACTTCACGGTTTTCTCATCTGTGGACGTTGGTTGGAAGAGTTGGTTGGAAGAGACCCGGACAAAATTTCAATATTCCTACCGTCCATTTAATAACCAGATTACAGAAAATTAGAAAATGATCAGAAAAACGGTGGACCTGGTGGGTATCGAACCTAAAACCCGTTGAGGTTACGTTGTCCTACGTTGCTACCACTACACCAACAAGCCCGTCAAATATATATTATAGTACTCGTTACTTGAGTGTCATCATTTCAAAGGAATTCGTTGAATAACAAGGACATAAACGATATTTTAAATACATAAATAAGTCATAATTCTAACATTAATAACATTCTAACATTTAAATCTTCAATCCATCCTTGAAGCGTCATCTCAGCAAATTAAGCTATGATTTAAAAAGCTATATAATGAGCTAAGCCCTCTGCTACCTTATTAGGGTTTTAATTAGAGTTATGCTAATTAGAAAACTTTTTCTTTCTGTAGGGAAAATAAGTAAGTAATATTTCCATAATTGAAATCAATTAAACGAATATACAACCCCAAAGATAAAATGGCGGATAAAAAGATTGTTTCTGAGGTATAATATGTATTTTTCACAAGTTTGCTATCCTTGTGCCTGAAAGGGGTATCAACTTATTTCTTCTTTTTATTTCATTAAATTGATATATAACTTGTATATGTAGTAATTAGTACTCACGGTGTTGGGGTTCTTGACGATTCCATCAGCTTGACTCACGATGCCGTTTCCGGTCTCGAAAGAGTATTGGAAGCCGCTGTTGTCTGGGCTGCTCTCAAAGCTTGACCTAACAATGGGGACCTGGTAGTCTGGTCCTACGACGTGGGAGACGTCAGCGCTGGCGCAAGCCACGGCTACGGCGAGAACTACGAGGAATTTCTGGGAAAAATTGTTCTTTTTAATGCAAGTATTAAGTGAGATCTAATAGCTGTCTGCTGTCGACCTATTGTCGTTTGGACGAGCAATTAATCAGATTTTCCTGGGGTTAAATGGCTCAGTCGCGCTTAGAAGACTCATCATTACTTTCCAATGACACTGAACAATACAAACGATCAGTAAAACAAAGAAGTCTAGCCACCCCCTATTCCTGGGGATACATTCCAATATGTGGTGATATACCCTATATTGAAATTTACCCCAGATATTACTTAAAGGAAAGATGAAGTTTTTGCCAAGAAAAGCTCTTACCATGTTGTTGGTTATAGGAGCCCGTAAGATACAGAATGATTTGTATATTTCATCAGGCTCTTTATATAGGTAATGTCCCGAATCGAGACGCGATTTTTTTTTTATTTTCTTGTTTTACATGAACTTGTGGCGTCTGATCATAGATTATTTTTGTAGATGTGCTTATGTCTGCCACATAAGTGTGTTAAAGTTTCTCTTACTTAATTCGGTATAATACGTTATTGGTAACTAGGGTCAATTAAAATTAATATGAACACACGTTTAAAATTAAACATTTTCAATTCACTAGTGTAGAGTTTCTACTTCCAAGAGGAGTGGATGAGGAAAGACAAGTATGTGGTTTACTTGATGGTAGGTGAAATTCTCCAGCCTTATAACATATCAGCCAGATGCGCTCCATTCTGACTTTGGATATTCGGAACACCACCGACTGATACCGAAACTCCACGGTTTTTTCATCTGTGGATGGTGTTTTATGGTCCTGACGAAATTTCTATATTACAAACAATTTTCAGTCGACTTTGCTTTGAACCAACGACTCCGGCGAAATCCCATCCGTATCTGTTGAATATTCTTTGGCCATCAATTTATAGGTTATTATTAGCAGAGTTTGTGATATTTGGCTAAACTTATGCAAGACAAATAGGTAAACGAACTGAAGCCCTCACTTAATTACTAATTCAAGGTCGAATCCTTTTACTTAACGCGAGTAAAGATGAATAGAAAAAACCGACGCAAACATTCTGAAGCTTTCTGATCGTCTAGAATTAAATTCTTGTTTTTTTTTTAGCTCAGTTAAGTTCAATTATTTTTGTAAATATGCAATTTTAAATTATCATTAACAATTTAAAAAAATATCACTACCTTATTGATTTTTTCGATTATTTGTAAAATTATCTACCCGTGATCAAAAAACATCGGGCCGTTGTTAAAATAATTTCCAAGTAAGTTCAACTAATTTAAACCGTTAATGTGTTTTATTGAAATGTGTACTACTGGCATAAACTACAGACAGTACTTAAATTGTATAAAAAGCAATTTAAAAAATAGGTTACATTTAGATAGGTCCCTATTATTAATAATTCCTAGACATAAATAATATATTTCTTTATCAAGGAAAACAAAATAAAGTGTCAATTATTCAATAATAAAAAACACAAATGAGCATTTTATTGCACAAAATAAATTCAAAACTTAAAGGTTAAATACTAGTTAGGTCGTATAATGTCTGACCTATGCTTTTTTATGCCCATCTAATCATTAATCTACCTGAATTAGCAGGTATCTGTATTTGTGATAAAACTCTGCCAGCTGCGTTATCTATACTAATATATAAAGCTGAAGAGTTTGTTTGTTTGAACGCGCTTATCTCAGAAACTGCTGTTTCTTATTAAATAAAATTCGTGTGGCGCTTAAAACATTTATTAACGGATTTAGGGCTTAGGCTATAAAACATTACGATGCATCCAACATGAGCGAAGAAGCATTAGGAAATGTAGAAGAAACTGGGGAAAATATGCTTCTTTGAGAATTTCCGTTAAATGCGCTTCAAGAAAACGGTTCAAGAAACCCAAAAAATATATATGACATTCTGTCATTTCACTGACATTTCTTTTTAAATAATAAAAAAATGTCAGTAACAGTATATGTCTATCTTTTAAGACAACTTGCAAATACGACGGGATGCGAATGACAGTTTAAATATAAATCGTTTAAAATAAAAAAAGCTTTATCAAGTTTTTATTTGATGTGTTAACCCAAGTTTTTCAAAGAATGGCTTGATAAAAAAGAAAACAAAACTACTACCTAATGGTCGGCATCTGTTTTACATGTTTGACCTTTCAACTACAGCCAAATAACTAAATAATGCAATAGACAATTAAAATATTTATAATTCACAACCTCGTTGACATGGCAATCACTTTACCAGCATAGAGTTCATCTTTTGATATTTAATCAATCTTTCAACACGACTTTTTGTTAGTATTAATTTTGCAATCAGTCCACTTTGTGGCCGCAATGTCATTACCTAACTACAATAATCGGCCAACATTATATAAATCAATATATACTAATATTATAAAGCTGAAAAGTTTGTTTGTTTGGACGCGATAATCTCAGGAGCCACTGGTTTGAATTGAAAAATTACTTTTTGTGTTATTTGTGTTGCGTTAAAAAATATTCAACTTTTAGGACTTTCGTTGTGTGCGCTGCGAGTGTTAACCTTAAGAAAATAGCTATATTATATTTATATCTTTAAGGAATAACTAACAAGAACACCAATATTAAAATCAGGTCGAAAAATAAATACTTCACATAGCAAAAGAACGTGCGCCGTGTCAGCCACTCTATACTAATGTTACAAGGTAGAAAAATTTGTATGGTTGTACGCGCGTATCTCATAAATTAATGGATGACTATATAAAATTTCTTATTATTATTTGCAGTCATATGAATTAGAACCGGAAACCCTACCGTCTAACAACGTAGTTGATTCGAACCAGCCTCCGAAATATTAGGACCCATTTGTACTATGTAACCGCCTTTATGGGCAATTGTTTAAAAAACGTGTTGTCTAGCATTACGTTAAGCACGAGTGGTTCTGTTTCGAGTTATTGGATATTACACTATATTCACAATAAATTGTTTAGATTGGGCAGGGTGATCAACTACTTAACTGTAAAAAAACAATTAGTAAAACGGCCATAGAAATGTGTTCGACCTATGCCCCATGAGGGAAACTATGTTTAATTATTCAATATAAAATTGGTAATTCATTGATTAAAACCGACATATTAATTCATCGTTATCAAAACGTAGACAACGCCGTGGAGCGTTGAGAGTTATATAAAATATGTTGTTATTGCTAGCGCCGGGCCGAGACGCAAAAGGCGCAAAAAATACTTATTATTGCTCATCAATCATATCTCTGTTAGGCTTGCAACTTGATATTAAGTTTAACTTGGATTGTTTTTGTTTGATAACTCGTGTTACTTAAGTGGGATAAAATTATCCAATTAGTGTAAATAGGTAACTTAACATTAGTTTTGGTGTAATTCGGCTGCTATTTTATTATTGTTTTCCGGGCTGTTCAGGAGATATTTTTATCTCCTCGTATGCTCGAGGAATTATAATTCTCAACAGAAGCTAACATCTCCTGATGATGCCGTCCGCTCGTGATGGCGAAACGTCGAGAACCTCTACTCGCTCACGTCGGCCCGAAATTGAAATATGAATTAAATGGAACCTTCCTATATCGATTGGACTCCACACAGACACATTTTCGAACAAATCGATTCCCTTTTCATATCGATTTCATTCCAGTTATGGTTGTTTTAAAAGCAATTTCCCTTATAAAAAGTAATCGTCAATTGATAACAGCAATTATTCAATACTAGCTGTGTAAGAGACTTCGTCCGCGTAGAATAGTTATTTTGGGCTCCAAATGGGTTTTCGCAAACCTCCTCTTCTATTCTATAGAGTAAGCCTTGCAAGTTAATCTTGAAAGATTGGATAAACTTTATAGACTTTTTTAAGAAAATTAAAAGAGACATCGTTTTGTCATACATATTTTGTGGGTATCTTGAAACGTTTTCGCATTTACTTATCGAAAACCCAGATGAAAAATTATAAAAAGCATTTTTCAATTCGAACCAGTAGTTTCTGAGATTGCCGCGTTCAAACAAACAAACCAACTATTCAACTGTATATCTACTATATAGATAATTGTCAATTGATATTAGCAATTATTCAATATTCAATTGGAACTATTAAATCGATAATAATTTTTTCAATGTAACGATTTTAAATCCATTAAAGGACAAAGTGTGCGGACGTGACGTGTGGTCCCAGCTTTACGTGACATTTGGCATCCAATACAAAACACGTTTGGGCCATTAATTTGAAAAAAAGTCGTTTGCAATCGCGATTTCGTCCGTTCTAGATGTATAGCCATTAAACAACAGTGTGGAAACAAACTATTGTTCATTTCGAAAGAAAAGTCTAAATATGAAGTTGTATATTATTTAAATAAAAAACTTTAACAGTTTTAAACGCCATATATATTTGTTTTAACTACGACCCGACGTAAAAGATGCTTTGTAGCGTGACCACTGTTGCATTAGACGGCTTTTGTATAGTCTAACCCGAGCCCACCTTCATTTCAATATATTGATTAAATTCATTTAAGTAATGTATGTATACTTATTTTTAACTCGATTTTATGCGCTGGAACTGAAATAAATATCCCAGACTGAAACAAACTTTTGTTGTTTCCCAGAGATTCGAAGTCAAGACCTCTAGTGCTTGGGTATGGGACGAGATGCTAGGTAATGCAATTTACAATACGCTACGGTAGCGATCTTAAAAATTATTAATCTCTATTAAATCTTAATAATAATACCTTTTTACAATTTTAAATTTATAATACTTAACGCGCGTAACGCAATGCTAGGCAATGCGTTTAAGTATTTGGATACAGAGCCGGTCAACTTATTTTATTATAATAGTCAAATCAAGTTAATAAATGTTTACGTTACACTGTATTTGTAGACATTGAACTTTTTAGTCCATAGTTTTTTAATCAGAAAAAACATCGGAACATCAATAAAGGTCAAATAGCACAGACCTTATTTTTACATTAAATAATAAATCTGTCTACAATTTATGCTATATATATCGAAACTAGTTTTTTGACTACAGCAGGCGTACTATATCTTACGTGTAATTTATATATATTTTTTTTCTTATTATATTATTTTATTTCGTTAAATACCTACAAATGGTATTGCGACAAAAAGATAAAAAAAAACAGGCTCAGTGTACACAAGTCCTGCACTCAAAAAATCCTTAAATTAAATACTGTCTTAGGTAATTGTATGAAAATAAAACACTTTTAACAGTTTAAAACATTAAATATATTAGTTTACTTATTTTAACTGTGGCCCGTATTTCGGTGGCTCTGGCCACGAGACAATGTTTGTCGTTTTAAACAGTTAAAGGTG